AATTACCAAGCCTAATTGTGATATGACACAAAGTAACTTCTAGTGATGAAGTTACAAATGAGAGAAAAACAAAAACAAAAAAAAAAGACAGAAAAGAAAAGAAAGCTTCAATTAAGAAGAAATATCTGCCCTCCAAAAGTGAGCATTTTTAAACAGTTCCCCTCTCAATAAAAGTTACAGCTAGCTACAAAAATCTATTTAACTTACCTGAACTTAAGTTATCCTAACTGGACCCTATTCCTGGGTGTTAAATATATGGTCACCTGACAGGAGCTGTCTGGACAAATCAAGAATTTTCTTTGGAAACAATTAGCTATGCATTACAGGCTCCAGCGCAGAAAAAAAGACCGTTCTGTATTCGCTGTGCAGCTCTCAGATTCCTTTTTGGTCCGGATATTTTAAAGCTAGAAGATGCTCAGTTAAGAGGGAAGCTCACCCTAAAATCTGCAGAACTGCAGAACTATCCATTAGGGCACAACCAAAATGACACTCGTTAGACTCAAAATTGTATCGAGATTAAGTCTAAAGAAGAACTGAAACGGATTGCAAGCTTTTACTTAAATYTCATCATTCAATGTATTCAATTATTTTCCATCACACAATTTTTTTCAGCTAAATTTTCAGCTAAACTGCCAAGTTTGATCWTTTGGATGTTGCTTCTCCTACTTTCTATGCTTCATCCTTTGCTTCACTGTATCTTTCCTAATGGTCTGCTGTATTCCCAGGGGTCAAGCATTTGTGAATCTCTTTCAAAGAAACAAATCTTAATGAAATATTAATGATCTAAATAAAGCAGAAGAATTCTGAAAAGAACATATTCCACAAAAAAAAAAGTTCATAAAATGTATCTGATCCAGATGTCACGTGGTGGAGATACACACAGAGCAGGGGAAGCATCACTGCATCAAGTACCTTGAAGGGATTTCTCTTTTAAATTTTTCAAAAAAAAMCCCAGATTTCTAGTTTATTCCAATCTGACAGAAACATCAGTATGCAATCTAATTATGTTTTTTAAAAAAGGATAAACTTGAAAACACTGTTGCTAACAAACAAACCTGACTGGCTACCTATAGYTAACTTAAAACAAATGCACGAGCTTTTCAGCAGCAAAAGTCCTTGATTTGAAGTACGTCTCCCCTTGAAAGATTTCTACTTTCCTAGCAAGAATGATACTGTTTTCCCATTACCAGAATGTCCTCATTCATCCAGCCTGCAGAGAGTGCTTTATAAGAAGAACAAAGACAGGAATAAGGAAGCACCATTAGAAATACTCATTCTCACTATCCAAATTAGCGAGAATTCYTTTATCCTTCCTAACCCATTCTAAAATATCTGTTTTTTTTCCAGCAGCTTAATAACAGAGGGTGAAGGGAGTTCCCATAGTTGTATGTTGATAACATTCAAAATGGTCATGCATATTACAATCAGAAGCTTTCTAGGGTGCAGTTTGTAAAATAAGCCTTCATGCAAATAGGCATTCAGCTCATTAACTCCATTTCCATATTTCCTATTAGTCCCTGAGAAATTAATACTTCTACTTAACATATGGCTATTAAAGGCATTAAAAGGATCATACACTTAGGTTTTAGGGATGAAAATGCAATGTGACTTTATGAAGAAGTATCAAAGAAATCAGAACAAATTAGGGAAAGTGATTATCTTATTTATGAGATGTCTTCCTTGCAGAAACAAGGTTGCTGACTAGCAGCATAACCATTTTTAGCCACAAATACAAAGCTGGCCAGCATCACTTTTTCTTACTAAGTTGTTACTGTGAGTTCAAGACATTAGGGGTTCTCAGATATCTCTAATTGAGTATTTCCTTTACATAAAATACTCTGGATTTTGACCTAGTGCCATCATGATCCTTCTTTTAATTAATAGCAGGGCTTGGAGTACTTAAAAGCAAGAGGGATCTTCTTTGCTTAAGATTTTTTTTCCTCTCTAACTAAAGAGGTCTCTTTAAATCGTTCAGAATTATCATTTGTGTGTGTGTCTATAAACAATTTTCATTACTGCTCAAAACCATAATCTACAGCTCCCAAAACAATAAGATCACCTTAAAATTAAGGCTTTGGAGAAGGGGCATAGGGAAGGAAAAGAMTCCAAGTTCCTTTTCCTTTTGGTTTCTGAGCAGTTACTGATTGTATTTTAAAGCTCTCCCCTTTAACTATGAGGGCTAAAGAACAATTTTCAGAAAAATGAAAACACTCTCTTACCTAAACATACACTTCAAAGTTGGAGCATTGCAAACATACATAATAGTCTTGATTTTTTTTTAAAAAAGTAAATTTGTTATATTTAGAGATGATAATTTACAATCCAGCTACTGTAAAAAGTTTTTCCTGTACATGGTTTATATATCATGGAAAATTTTGGATTTGCCATGGGCATTTTTGGTTTTGCGTTAACATAGAGTTTATTAACATGACTCTTACCAAGCTGTTATAAAGCTCTTACCTATCTCCATAAACATCTCCAATCTCTGCTGAAATTTGCTAATCGCAGAGTAAACATCAAATGGGAGTTATTCAACAACAGATAAACTCTACRGAATTCTTCACGGATGGTCAGACAGAATTCATTCTCTCTTGGGAATTATTTCTACTTCTTACTAAAAGAACAAAATTCCTTTTTTAATATATATAGCATGTTAAGAAACAGATGCTGATTGACTAAGCAAGGTCACTGCATCTATAAGCAGTAATTTACATTCTCAGAGCATCACTGATACTTTACCATCAGTTCTTCTGGATCAAGGGGAAACAAACACAACTAACATCATTTGCTGATCAGAAGTGATGAATATCAAATGGGTAACTAACTTTCACTATTCAAGAAAACTGGGAACAGATAGCATTTTTTTTGCAGGAATTGCTGAGAAGCTGAATGGATTAGTCCAATGTAAATAATATCCTACATCCYGGAAGTCCTAACAGAGCTTATGACTTGCTTGAACTCTTCAACATTATACTTTGCCAACTGGACAAAAAAATAAAAAGTTAAGACATGTCTTACTAAGATTTAGACATTTGGAGAAAAACAACCAAACAAAAAAAAAATCCAAACCAAAGAAAAATYCTACTGGCTGCTGTAAGCATTAAATGGATTATTTCAGGTTTTACTATGTTCAGCTTCAATCTTTAAAAAGTCAAAAGCTGTTGTGAAAAAATGTTTTATAACATTCACACTACAYGAGTGTACTACCTCATCAGGAGAGTAACATTTTGGAGAGCAGGATTCATGTATAATATACGGCAATTTTCCCACATTGCCTGATAATGCTCAGGTGACGCTGTTTTCTGTTGCAGGGAAATACCAGGAATGCTTTCGGAGGCAATTAGACAGTCGTCCTTCCTAAGGGATTAACACTTTATTTGCTCAAAAGTTCTACTTAGGCCACCTACAGTAAAATTCTCAGAGTCTAAGTTATAGTTAAATACTAAAATCAAGYAGGGGGCAACTGAGGCACCTAAAGGAGACGAGATCTTCAAGAGCTCTATTACTTACATGGAACGTTTCCCTATGGAATTGTTCTCTGCAGTCCTTAACCTGCAGCAAATTCGCAGCCGTGGCACTCGGATCTGCTGCAGAGGTGGCAGAGGGAGCTTGTGCTGCCACACAGCTCAGCCTGGAGAGCTTGCCCAACAAGCTGGGGTCATCAGCTCAGGCTAAACTCTGTGCTTTACAGCCACGACATAGTCAACTACACAGAATTTGGATTTTGATAATAAAGTCTAGGCTTTGTATGAGTCAATACTTATTTTATTGGAAACTGGCACTCAAAGAAATAGTCATTTATTTCTGGTCATCATGTTATTACCAGTTATTATTTCTGCACAATCTCTGCACTGTGCCTCCCACCTGCACGACCTCAGCTGCCAGCAAATCTAAGGCTCCTGGCYCACTTCACAGGCTGGAATTGGCCAAAAACAGTAACTAACACTTCTGGGAGAGGCGAGGATTAACTGTAGGCCCAGACTGACACTAAAGAGGCTGAAATTGATTAAAAAATCATAACCAATTATTCTGGGGAAGAAACTGTTGCAGGATCCAGAAGACTAAACCCCAAACTGATACTCATTAATTAAAAAAATAAARTCAAGCAAGCAAAGCAGCAGATTTGTAGGCTTTTACAAAAAGCGTAACTGAGCTTTTCTCAAAGTAAACATCAGGGGCCCCCACACAAGAGCTGCGCAAAGAATGATTTGGGGAACGGATACAGAGGGTTTAGATGAAGGAAACTTAAAAACTTTCTAGACTGCTCCTACTATCAAGCATTTAGGAATATGATACTCACTAGAGAAGGTTTTACAGAGAATACTTTGATGACATAGAAAAATAGTTCACAGCATCAAGGTGCCTGTAATATACTACCTTGAAATAAAACTTGTATTTAAAAGATTAAAAAGAGAAGATTATTCTTGTAGTGGTATCAACTCGTCATTCATACAAATATTAAGCAGTTTTTCATATATTCACATTATTGCTTGCTAGCACAGCTGTATAGGGAACGTATTCATAGCTTACACTAATGTTCATGTACAGTAATTTCAGAGACAAAAAGCAAACTTAAAAATTATGATTGAATAGCAAATACAGAAACTATAATGTGTGAAAATTTCTATAACTAAAATATAACTAGAAGAAACACTATACAACTGGCCTGACCCAAGTATATATCATATATCCAGTTAAAAAAAAAAYCTTTACAGTTATACAGAAAATAAGCTTTGTAAACCAAAATGAGCAGAAGTAAGGGTGCAATAACTATTTATCGAACACATTCAAATTGACACTGTTGCCCAGTGYACCCTGCTTTGATTACTATTGATACATGGCACCTCCATTTGCATCTGGAACTGCTTCGTTCAAGATTTCCCTTATTAACCTTTTTTTTCCTGCTTATGTGGCTTTAAAAAGAAAAAAAGAGATACCCTTGAAAGATCTTCTTGAAAAATAAATTTAATGGAACAAATACTTAAGCACTCCTGCATTCAGGATCTGGTAAACAGTAAGATAAAGCTGACACATGGCATTAGCCTGAATTAAAATAGCTACATTATAATCTGCAGTACTAACATATTTTTGTGATCCTGAGCTCTACTGGCAGATGCATGCAATTCTCTCTGCGATTTTTCTAATCTGAATAAAATAATTCTATTTTTCATTTATTTACCTTTAACTTTTTCAGAACCAGCTGAGAGGATTTCTTCAYGAAAAGCGCAAAGATTTCTACCAATGCAGTGACACTGGGGTTCCAAAAAGCAGTTTCAAAAAGAACTTTTCCTCACCCTCCTGATGGAAATGGCTAGCCAATATCCCAAAAGGAAACCAAAAATATTTACAGCTGACGTGTCACTGATAAAACTTTTGGTAAATCATAGAAGTTGCTTCCAAAACATAAATTAATAATTAAAAGGACTTGCACAAAGTACGGTCAATCAGTTGTGTCATTTTGGGGTAAAAAAATACCTGCTCACTTGTAGACCATTTTCAGCTGTGTATTTATAGTAATATATATATATATGTACACACGCGCGCGCACACATATAAAAGACTTTGAAACTCAAGATACATTAACAAAACAAAGAAGTAAAAGTAATAACTTAAGTAGTAGTTAACATGTGCATGAAATGACTTTTGCAAAGTTTGACCGAATGCACTTAGGACATGCTCTTATTAAAAAAAAAACAAAAATAAAATAAAAAATAAAAAATAAACAAACAGAAAAGAATGCAAACACCACAAGAGTCTGTAGAACCAATGCTATGTCACCACCAGGAGAGCACCAAGCAAGGCACCATTGGAAAGACAACATACTTGGATAAGTCTCTATAAATAAAGTAAATGCTAATCTGGTCGAAAAATCGGTGTCTTTGGTAAAAATTCTATAAGGATGACCTGTATAAAAAGAAAACAAACACACATTAAATGGAAAATCGCAGAAAACCTATTATCTGAAGTCTAGCACAATGATAATTCACATTTTCTTTTTTTTTTTTTTTTTTTTTTTTTGTCTTTTTGGAAGTATGTAAAATTGAAAAAGAAAAATGGATGCCAATCAGTGATCACAATACTTTCCTGAAATTGTAGACAATTAGAAAATCACATTAAACTAAGCTTAACTTGTGGCAGAAAACAAAGCTCTAAACAGTAAACAATCTTTAGCAAAGTTCCTTATTTTATTAAGAAAAACTCATGAAAGAGTTAAAAGTATTTAAGACAACAAAAGGCAAAACATAATCAAAGCTGATTTTCAAATATACCTCTACTTCTCTTTTTTTTTTTTTGAAGTAGAATTAACCTAATCCTACTTAAATTTTTAACTTAATTTAGGACTCTAAATCATGCTTATTGATCCAAAATTCCATAGAAAGGTATATTTAGCTTCTGCAAAGCTCTTGTATCAGAAAGAGTGGCAAGGAGTTAACAAGACACTTGACTAGTGCTTCTGTGTAATTATTCCTCAAGTCCTGAGTCCAATTTAAATACTGATTTAGCGAGCTGTCTACACACTGCAGGACAAAGTGAAGAATAAACTCCAAGTATACAACCCAAGAATACAACCTCCGCCCTGCTTTGTATTTTAACAGGTAGCTTCTCTAAAACGCTCGTTCCTATTTTCACTCTYGAGTGAGAATCACAGAGCTACCAATACAGCTGCACGCTCGTAGCCCTTAAAAAGAAATGCMACTGATAACATGACGGAGCCTTTTATGTACGCAAGGGAGTTTGGCTTTCAAAGAAGTTAAAACTGAATTTTTGACTGTAAAATGTGTTATAAATTAAACTATTATTTASTGATAGCTGACAACAAAACAAATCGAATTGTTGTGTTTTAGCGGGTAGGTTAATGTGACAGATGAAAACAGTTTAGGTGCTTACAGGATGAATGCTTTTATCTATAACATCATCTTGAGAAATGGGGGGAAAAAAAGGCTGTGAATCCAGCACTGAAACACTGAAGCTCTGAATCAGGTTTTTAAGGCTGTATTTTTGCACATAGGCAGAAGTGCCTTGATTTCAGAAGGGCTGCAAAGGTGAGCTGATCATTTGATGATTACATGGCATCAGTGCCCAGCGCACAGGCCAGGCTAAGGAAAGGGAGGACGATGCAAAGCTGGACAACTGCGTTCATGCAAAAGGAGCCGGGGTATCAAACATGCACTTCAGCATCTGCTGCAGGGGATACAGAACTTWAAGTGAACAGAGCACCACGCTTTGGGACAAAAGCTTAACTTACAGCACTCATTTTGGGGGAAAAAAATAAAAAATAAAAAAATAAAAAATAAAGGGTATGATTTTTTATTAAACTTAGGCATGAATACAAATCAAAGGCAGCTTTAAAGAGGCTAGGAAATTAARTAGGTGAAAATGCTGCAGAAAAGTTTGGTAAAAAAATTATTAAATTGTCATAGACTACTTACTAGGCATTTTACAAATTAAATATTAGAGAAAATYTTAGACCTGGATCGTGTAAAACTCTGAGACAATGCTTCCCTATTACTAATGTAAATAGTTCAACTAACTTTAAATCTGATTGAAGTAATGAATGTTTATTTTTAAATGTTGTTATCGTACAATTTGGCCATACTCCACATCATATTTGAAAACCAGCACTTTATGTTTTGCTTCAATTTAAGCTGCAAAAGATTTGATGCAACAAAGTTCTCTAGAAAAAAGTATATATATATATATATATATAAAAAATATATATATTTTAGGTGAAAAAAAACCATTTAGGTCAAGCTCAAAGCAACATACTGAAATGGACTTTATTCTTTTTACCACACATCTATATTAACTTTTTTTAAAATAGAGAATGATATGAAAAGTCTACTTATTCAGTGAATTGAACAGAGTTCTAAAAAGGGCATTTAAAAAAATTCTTATGTTTAAGGCTAGAAATAAGACCTAGTAGGAAAGGTTAACACAAGAAAAAAAGGATTTTAAGACAATTTCCAACTTCTTAACCACTCTCGATTTTTATACGCTACGATGGTGTAATCGTTTCAAAGAACAGACTGCATATTATATAATGCAAGAGTACAGGTAAGTTAGAAGTAATATAATAGACGTTTCTCAAAGGTTAGTCTTTGTTTTGTAAAAGTTAACCCCTTCCTGTTTCAACTTCTTAAAGTTTTAAAGCAATTCTGCGTATTCTACTTTGTCTTAAAATATAGCACCTACATTTCCTTCTACTTAGTACCCTTTGCTCTCTGTCAAGAGATTTTCAAAATGAAAATATAAACAGCAACAAAAAAGGAAGAAGGAAGCCAGCTAGATAAACTGAAAATCTATGTATGATATTATTCATTTTAAACTGCATGCAACTTCCCTCTGTATAGTTCTACGAAATATGGATTTTTTTTTTTTTAATGGGATCTCATCCAAAGACTGGAGGTTTAGTTTATTTCAGAGACTGACTCAAAAATATTTTAGCAACACCAACCAGAAATAAAGATACTTTCTAAACAGTTGAGGTAAGGGGCAGCTAAAATCTGAAAAGGCTAAAGGTTTCTTAAGCTCCAACAGCTTGGTTGAAAGGTCTTCTTCCATACTTTTAGACTTGATTAGCATTAGATAAAACAGCCATATCTGACTTGCTGCGTAACCAAAGTTGTGGTTATTCTTTATACAGCATCTAAAATTTCACACTCCATCAACACATGTTCAAGCTATTTTATCTTGGCAATTAATTTATTATTTTTCAGAGCACAGTGAAGCCTTGTTTTCAAGTCATTCATAACTTTATAAATCAGTCCTGCACATGAAACCATGCATCTGTGAACCGTAGAAAATCCTTGCACTCAGGCGATTAAGCTCCTGACACCTTTACTGATTAATAATCATGAAAAGAATAAGATCAGAAGCAAAATAAATGATCATTTAATAGAGAAACTCACAAAACAGCCCTTTAACTTACATATTCCATCATGTTATTCGTTTCACATTTCCTTTTGCTTAGTCTCCAATGCAAGCACAGCTAGACAAGGAGGAAAGAAAAAGAAGAAAAATGAGCTGTATTTTATTGCAGCACACAGACGAGCCCATTTGTCCACCTTTCATATTTTTCGTTCAACAAAAGCATCTGTTTCCATACTGTGCAATTCAAACTCCATCAGTACGAAGCTGCTCCCCGCGGCACTCACCTTGTGGTATAACCTATTGTTTTCCCATTCTAATAACTTCTCAATCGATCTTCGTGTCTGGAAGACAAATGAGAAAGAATTTTACTCTTGACTGGTTTTAGAAAAACTTTGCTTCGCAGCTGCTTTGGTGTGAAAAGGGGAGAGGTACAGGACAGTGACTGAGTACAGGGTGGTCTCTAGCACTGGCAAAACTTCTCTGGCATTAAATAGAAACTATTAAATAGGAACAGAAACAAGCCCTTCTGGGATGCCAATAACCACCTTCAAACTTGTGTGGAAAAAATACACAACCACTTTGAAAAAGCTGCTCACACACATCCTACACACACACTCTTGCAGCAGTTACAGCTTTGAAATCTCCGACAACAATTTCCGAGTGATCCAAGGATAAATGCAGGAAAGCTGCTCCCTAATATCTGTGGTCCGAGCACATTGCTGCTTTGCTGCTTGAACAGACAAATGCTGCCAGCAGTTGCATTTTGCAGTGCTGTGTAACGTAAACGTATATAACACTCCATTTGAGCAAACAGAAAAGTAACCTTTTGTTATGTTCACATCCAGTTTTGAGAGAGGCAAATCTAAGCGTGGAAAGTTATAGGAACTTGTACTAATTAGTATAAAAAGAAAAAAAAATCTCATTTATATAAAGAGAAATCTAACATTTCAGATTCTAAAGCTCCAAAGTTTCAACTGCCTCCGTTTGCCAAAGAACTCCAAAATCTTTCCTTCAAAGCCTTTAAAGGCTAGGCATGTTAGTGTTAAGGAAGGACATTCTTCGCTGTAAAGTCTCAGAGCATTTTCAGGATAATTATTCAGTTATATTTACATTTGAGAAATACATTGTGACATTTATGGTCATTTGCCTGCCAGAATATATACTGCTTAGCTCTAAATGGGATTTGCTACTGCCTCGGAATAAAAAGAGGATAATTCATGGTGCCAGGTGTTAAGATGAGACCAACAGAGCTGCAGGTGCAGAAGGACGGAGCAATGACAAGGATCAAATACAACTTAGTGCAGCTGCAGCTTCCTTACAAGGCAGGGAGGGGTGAGGGGAAGGGACGGGAAAGCACCGCGCGGCACCGCTACCAAATACAAATACTGTAAATGAAGCTTAAACCAAAATAAACGCTATTTCGACAAACAAGAGCGCCTGAAGAAAGGAAAAATGAGGCGGCCGGTTATTACCGTCCCATGAAATAGCGGAATTTTGGTTCTGAAACGCCGGTCGCTCTGCCTGGCTTAGGCCTGAAGCGGCTGGGGGGCCAGAGCGGCAGGGAGGGCCGGCGGCCACGTGACTGAACATTAGCTCAGTGCTCTCGGGGCGCAGTCGCGGCATTGGATTTTTATTACGGTGTGTTTTAAAAAGCATAAGGCAGGGCGCCCGAGGGTGCAGGGAGCCCAGCGGCAGGGCCTAATCTATCGCAGCGCTTTGGGGACTCGAGTAGTTTGGGGGCTGTTATTATTATTATTATGTTTTTAAAGACAGTGCCCTCTAACAATAATCAGCAGACCTCACTTGTTTCTTTGTAAAGATAGCCTTTTAGAGTCTGCTCTCCTTTTAAATGAAAATAGGGCAGCAGTTATGGTCACACTTTTGTTAATTTAGTTGCCAGTCAGCTCCAAATCAAAAGAAAATAAGGCTGCAGAGTGTAATTAACATTCAGTTCAGTCGTTTTGTCCCTTGTCTAGCCCCCAAGCTTTGTTAAAATTGCCATCTGAATGCTGAAGGCTGTAGGGAAATCGATTTGATTCTAATCGCACCATGAAAAGAACATGATCTAACTGCTTTCAGCCCTCCGTAAATCTGTACTAGGTCTTTAGCACAATGCAACTTCCAATTTAAAAAGCACTGAATGTCTCGTCAATGACTTTGTGAAGAAAAAAGAACAAGGAGCAGACATAAAAATTCCAATAGTTGTTTAAGCATTAAAGTTCATTTGCATCACAGCAAACCTGAAAAGGGCTGACCTCTCAAACCGCCTCTCAGGTCTATGAAGTTGTAGCCTTGACAAGCTCACATTGACAGAGCTCATTGACTCTGAAAGGCTACTCTATCAATGGTGAAAAATGGCAATAGGTTCTACTCTGAGCAGGCATCTGCCTGCCCACCCGCTGCTAAACCAATGGCAAAACTGATTCAAAACCTGAAGCTACCTTGTAATCTTCCTTGCCAGGCCCTTTTAAGAATAGATTAAGATCACTATACAATTTAATTTCATTGTTTGCCCCAAAAGAGTGTGGAAAAACATCTAAGCTTTCCCAATTCCAATAAAATTATGTCTATATTACAACACATACACACARATAAGAAACTGATCGGTAGCTATGGAGTATTAATAGGTTTATTTAAATAATAGCCCAGTTTAATGCCATTCTAATGAGTACGGTCTTGGCTAGCATTACAKAAAAACACAACCTCAGGACCACGAGTATTTATGTACCAATATGACTACACCACGGTCCTTCCTTTAGCGTGACTTGGGCTATTTACAACTCCCAAACCGTGACACTTTGCAGATACAAAAACATCCCTGGAAAATATTTCTGCAAACCTCCGAACTCAGACCAGAAAGAGCTGAATTAAACAGCATCGCACAATTCACTATAGTAAGTTTTCTTCCCGCTTGACAGGTGAAAAAAAAGCACATGCACGTGCAGCTTAATTAATCACTGCTCTTGACATCTCAGTGATTTACAGTGAGGAGCAGGTGAGGACATACAAAACCAGAAAGGAACACTTGATGTGAGAGTAGCATTTCCAGCACACTAGGATGACAAGCTTATATATTCTATCAATGGTGTACAGAAAAACCTATACACCAAATTATGTGTTAGCCACAACAAAGGCACAAATTAAGTGGAAGGGAGCCTTGCTTATTAAGAAGATTTAATACGATCCAGCTTTTAATTTTTTTCTTTAAAAAAACCTACAGCAATATTTGAACAAAGCTAAAACCTAAGACTGCAATTCAAATAGACTTATTTTTTTAGCACGCCACAGACAAAGTATGTTTTGTAACATGCTCAGGGAAAAATGCACATGGACTAACGTCCATTTGACAAAATTCTATGGATAATTTCTTCAGTGAACTGTACAGATATAATGCTTACTGAAATATTTCTGAAAAATCACCGATTTTTAAAGATGCTTGTGTTAGACAATGTTTTCTAAAAAATTCCCTACCGAGCTACCAAAAAAGCACAACTCTGACTACATGTTTACTAATTCACCCTGCCCCCAAATAAGCAGACTGGAGTTTGGCACTCAAATGTGAAAACCAAAAACTAGCGAGACTAAACATGAACTTGTCATGCACAGGCAAGGCAGTATCGAATACAAATGAAGCATCATCTGCACTAGGATCTTTCTTCTATGTCTTTGCAGAATCAATCACGTGAGGAGGCTTTTCCTGAGGCAGTCCTGATCCGGGCAGAGAGGCCGTGTGGACACGGAGCCTTCTTGCAACGTGTGACCTGGGACCTACCAGCCACACCAAAACCAGCACCGATGAACAGGCTGCAGCCACCTCAACTCCTGCTCCAAGTCACTGAATGACTCCTAAAATACCAGTGTTAAACAAAAGTATCTTGCTAGGACTCTCCATGTGATGCTCACTTGAGTATCTCCATTTGTCTTTATTTCAAGGGTAAAACAGCATAAATAGTAGTACCACGATTCTCTACTACCATTTTTTATTTCAGTCTTCTGGGCATAACACAAGAATCTCTCTCTACAGCCATATGATTTTTGACTTGATTGCAGCACTAGTCCAATAAACAGTGTGTGGAGACTTTCAAAATATATTATACAAACCCTTACCACAACCAAGCATTAATAAATTTGAATCTTGCCCTGCAAAATATACCTCATGCTTCAATTTCAAAGTACGAGGTGACCAATTGAAACAGGTTTTGTTGATCCTCAGATGGTCAGAATTTGTATTAAACTCTATAAAAAGGAAGGCCCACAATCTTACTACTACTTGAACTATGCCATCTCCTCTCCCTTAAAGAAACAAACAAAAGAAGCTGGAATATTGTGTTTATTCTTCAAAAAAATATATACTAGTCTACAAAATATTTACCTAAGTAATTTAACTACCAGTTTCAATAATGAAATATAAAGCTAATAGATAACTGAATCACAACGAGCCTGAACATTCCCCAAATTATCTCCCACAAGCAAACGCTTTCAGAGTCTGAAAGAAAACAAACTCACAAATTAACAGCATGCCTATGCAGTTTGCATGCATTCAGTATAAAGTACTGATGAACTATATTAGTGTGAGAAATGCATATGAATATGCTTTAGACCAAGCTTGGAAGAAAAAGGTCTTGATTTTGAGCAGTGCAGTATCACTAACAGGATTGCATCTAGCACTGAAACACGCTTTCTATAGTGTTTAGACTGTGTACACAGAGATGTCCATATATATTTTTAGGGCTAACTGGTGACAGAAACATAAGAGTTTGATTGGAATGCGCAGAACAATTACAGATGTCTTCTGCTGTGTTGAGACATGCTCCACCTTGAACACTGCATCACAAATAAAACCTTTCAGAAAGCGTAAACTGCCAAGATTCCCATCTGACTGAAGAGTCAGGTATTTGTGAAGGGCAACGATGACACAGGTGGAACTTAAGCTGATATCTGAGTGCTGGTCTAGSTGGATACCTGCTTCAGCATGAGCCTGAGAGAGACCTGCCCTTTTCAGAGGAAGAAGGATGACACAAGATGGACCTATTGCAGTTAGGATACTTAYCACTAAAGACTAGTGAATGTGCACTCGTCACAAGAACCATGCAGCATCCGTGCAAGAAGGCAAGTGAAACACAGACAGTGGATTGAAGAAAATATGGAAATAAATGGATCGTTTTTGTGCTCTTCATAAGAATTTGGAATAACTGCCTTATCTAACAGATTTATTATTACTGCATCTTTTCTTATCTCTCAGATGATTCCAGGCAGAAAATAAGCCCAGAAGAAAGCACWAGCCAAACTTCCTCATTAGGCAAAGAAAAATGGATTCCCCAGAATTCTGGAGCAGAAGGAA